GGAAACCTTCTGCTGACTTTGTTCCCTTCCTGCCCGCCTCCTTAAAATGAAAGCAATACAAATAGAGAAACACACACCCACCCCAACCCACCCACAGCATTTCGATAAAAATAGCGTCATCCCTGGAAAGTGAAGGCAAAAAGTGCCGGCGAAACCTTTCAGCTAAGCCAGGTGTGTCGTCTTCCATGAATGCTGAAGGTTTAAGTGCACAGGAAACATCTCATCATTAGGAGATTACGGGAGCAGCCCAGTAGGTATTTATTGTCAAAGAGCTGTCACAGGAGACAAGCTGAGCCAGGAAAGACATAAAAACCAGAAGGAGAGGTAAACTCCCATCTGTGTGTGATCAGCTGCCTCCAGGTAGAGCCGCGCGAGTGCAGCTGCAGGAAGGCAAGCTTGTCTCTTTCCTGCAAGGTGGGCAGAACAGCCCTGAAAACAGGGCTCACATCGGCCCGCAGAGTTACAGCCCCTCTGACTGCCCACCCTGAGACACAGGGCACAGGGTGAAGTAATCCTAGCTCAGTGTCTCAGTTCAGAACTTACTTCCAAAAATCCCAGTAGCTGTGATATGTAGATGTACCTTCAAAGTCTTATGATTCACTCTAAAATGTTTCTAGTAATTACTTCTATTTTAAAGGCGTTAGTTAATTGCATTGTGTGTAGAATCTTCGCCGTAATTGTCCTTCAGAAAGAGGGAGAGCACAGCCAGTAAAGATTGCTTATTAAAATTAAACGCACTGTGGGCGTTTATTTCAAAGTGTAATTACTGAAATAAACAGTTGCGTTTATTGCAGGGTGCAGAGCTGCACATACAGACGGGTGCAAACATGCCTGTATGAGAAGCGCTGCATGTTGATTCTATGTCAGTTGCCTGAGAGAATCTGCAGGATCCTCTATGTTACATAGAATATAAAGACTACTACAGATACAAAGACGGTGTTACCTTGAGGGCAAGACGACCACTCTGAAATTGCTGCTACTAACCATTTGTACTTTATATGCAGAATACCGTTCTGTGGTAACTTCAGCTGTTAGCACTTCTGCACTGTGTTCAGAGCAGCAGCACTTATGGGAAACTCGGTCCGAGTGGAATAAGAAGAAACACACTAACTGAAATTCATTTAAAAGCATATAAACAGTTTCAAAAGCACTATTTTCCCCCTTGCTAATGATCCAACATAATTGTTGTAAACATCAGAGAGCAGATTCCCTAGACTGAGAACAAACAGGAAACATTTCTTCCCTTGGGGCATTTTTTCTCTTCTAAAAGGTATTGTCCCTGAGAAGGATAGAGAATAAAATTGCCTCTTCTACCACAACTACTGAAGTGCATATCATTATGATTTCTTTATGCTGTGGTAATACTCAGAGATACCATCGGTGCTTGAGGCCCTTGCGTTGCAGGACACAGCAGTAAAGAGATGTCCTGTAAAGATTACAGCCTACTTTTAACTTCTGCAAAACGTAGCTTTATAATGTGAAAGTGACTGGTTAGAGAAATCTCTCCCTTCTGAATCTCAGTGTTTATTATCCTGTGCCTTCTACAGATCGTGTTCAAGTTGGCTGTCGGGAGCTGCGATCCACCAAGTACATTTCTGACGGCCAGTGCACCAGCATCAATCCCCTGAAGGAGCTGGTGTGTGCTGGTGAGTGCCTCCCTTTGCCACTGCTCCCCAACTGGATTGGAGGAGGTTATGGAACCAAGTACTGGAGCAGGCGGAGCTCGCAGGAGTGGAGATGCGTCAACGACAAAACTCGTACCCAGAGGATCCAGCTTCAGTGCCAGGATGGCAGTATAAGAACCTACAAAATAACTGTGGTCACGGCCTGCAAGTGCAAGCGATACACCAGGCAGCACAACGAGTCCAGCCACAACTTTGAAGGAACCTCTCAAGCAAAACCTATCCAGCACCACAAAGAGAGGAAAAAAGTCAGTAAATCCAGCAAACATAGTACAAGTTAGAAGTCAGACATTCTCTCCCCTCTCATCTCCCTCTCCTTGTGCCAAAATTGAACTCACCTGTAACCATTTGCTTTTCCGTTCCGACTGCTCAGAGACAAGTCTGCCATTGCCGTGCTCTCAGCTGACACTCGTGCTTACTGCTTCGACCAAAATCAAGAGGGGCGTTCTCAGCATACGGACCTTTGGGGTGATTTTCCGAATGTGCAAGATGGGGAATAAGCGAGCCTTCAAAACCCACGCTATGAACTTTTGCATTTTCTCCAGCCATGGAGGCAAAGCAAATTTGCCACGAATATTCACTGAAGTCTATTTTGTAAAAAGATGCTTTGTTGTGTGTTTTCCTGAGAACGGTTACCACGCCTATTGCCTTCTATATCCTGTTTTATGAACTTCTGACAACAGCTTAAAAATACAACATCTAGTATCTGCTTTGAGACTCATTCTAAACAAAAGCCTTGCATGCTGACCTTTCTCTTATCTCAGTATATCGAAAACTAAAATATGCATGGCAGCAATCAAAAAGTAAAGCTGAACAAACTATTTATTTGTTGTTGTAATTATTTAATGAGCTTTTATGTGTGTTACTTCCCTCCAAAATGTTCTTATGTTTATAGCTTTTCTCATGTATCAAAGTATTTTCCTATGATTTGTGGCTGGATTAGAACATGCGTTTTGTAGATAATGTAAAATAGATATTTTAGCATTCTTGGTATATATATTTTCATTTTGAACATTCATAGACTTAGGTGTTGTTTTGAAGTAACAACATAAAAATAGTTTTTTTCATTCTCTATTCTGTATTATTTTTGTTTGAAAGTGTGCAATCAAAAGACAGATATGAGGACTTCCTTTCAAAATCATTGGTTTCCTTTTTTTTTTTTTACAAAAATAAACAATGCTAAAAAATGTATTGCCTGGTTCTATGTATGAAGAATCACATATTTTAATCAGTCACAATATTTAATCTTAAAAAGTGGGAGAACGTTATTTGGGTAAAAGGAATCTAGCCATGATATTTCATATTAAAACAATCTTTTTGTGTAGCCTTTCTGGATGTAAAAATCTTATATAGACATCTAACAGATGACGCTTATTAATGGTCAAAGCCAGGTTCTTATTTAATAATTCTCAAGTTGTACATTGCAAATGAAGTGTATATTTGGGAATTTTTTTAAGTTAGCAAGACATCACCATATTTTTTTTCTTTTTATTAGTGATGATCAAGTCAAAGACTAATGGTAAGATGAAACCGCACATTAGGTTTTCAGAGCCAACAGAGTCCTGCACATTATCCACAAATTCTTATAGAATGGATCAGCAATCTACCTTTCAAGACATTGTCCATGAATCCCCTGTTTGTAATCTTTCAAACTATATTGAAATACTACGGGCAAGATTTAATCATGGGATTCTGCTGTTCTTAAATCATTAACTTTTACAACCCATTTGCACCCAAAGAAAAGCTTACACAAGAGAAGTCATGAAAAGTCTTGCCTGATAAGGCCTCATGCAAGCTCTCTTTGACCTCTTTATCTCATTCCACTTTGCATTTTAATTCCAAAAGAGTCATTGTGAAGTTCCAGGCAGAAATCTTCCTTGGTCAATAATGCAGACCTGTTTGAAAATTACTGCTACAGCTTGACTTAGTGAATCCTAAATTTTACTGAAAAAAATTTAATAATTTTACCACAAAGCTACTTTCAAGAACTTTCTTTAAAATCTTCCTTCTATATATAAGAAAGATAGATTTTTTTTTTAATTATCTACATGGTGGTGCAGCTAAAAAACATTGCATTACTGACCTAATTGTTTCAAGTTTAGATCTGTGATCACAAAAATATAAGAATGGTGAAATCAGAGTTGATTTATACTTAAATAAGGCATACTCTGAGAATTTAAGTCAAAGGTGCTTCTTTTAAGCCTAAGATGACAGATAATGAATAAAGGTGTTAGCAGGGAAATAGGTGACACGATGTTGCTTCTGGACATACCAGTCCAGATATCCTGTTGTTTTTTTTTTTTTTATTTTAACAGTCATTATAGTCTCCTTCAATCCATTTTATGAGGAAAAGATTATTCCCAAATGTTAAACATTTTCCATTTTTAAATTGTTCTCCAGCTATACCTTCGAGATGATAAAGCATGAAAGATTGCGATAATGGACTAAAATATAACCAAAATTACTTTCAAAGCCAATAGTCACTACACATCAGGGAAGCTGCCCTGCCTGTTCTGTGTGCGACTCCCAGAAATAAGAATGGTGAAAAAACCCACACGTCTTGCTCATGACTCTTCTACAGACAAGTGAAGTTTGACTGCAGGAACAATATCCACATCTAACAAGAGTCTGCATTTAGCAACAGAGATAGATAGTAACTCCTAGTGTGTCTTTTCATGCAGAAGCAGAACTACCTGGAAGGGAATAATTTGACACTTCCATTAAGATGATGGAGCCAGCCTCTAAGCCTGGCATATTTGAGGGAACATGAGGAAAGCCAGTAGGAGCTTTGCCCTAGGAGGAGCAGCAACTTAACTTTGAAGTGCCCCTGAGTTAGCTGTGGTCTCTTTGCCCATGACTTGGACTTTTGTGAGGGAGATCTGCAGGAAAGCAGTGTTAGAAATATGTAAACCTTGGTTTTTCTTCAGGAATAATGCCACTCTGTGACTCATCTCCTAGCTCGGAATGTTTCAATCTGGCCTATACCATCTGCCTTCTGTTTCATGCTGTTACATGTGAACCCACAGGCATCCATCCAAGGATCCAGACAAAAGGCCTTACATGAGTACATCCAACTAAATTTTTCTATACGGAGAGTCTCCAACACATAAAGTTGCAGTGGATGAGATATAGACCATGGCTCTTGTATCTACAGGGGAGAATCGTGCCAAAGATTCTCGAAGATTCAATGGAAAAAATAGCACTGCTTAAACTGAAGTAATTTTAAGTATGGTCCATCTTCTTATGTTTGTTTCAGAGTTAAAAAGGGAAGACACCTGAAATATTAAGCCAAATAGATACAAAGAGCATGTAGATGATTTGAAACAGTACAGTGTAGAAGCAGATCAGACAAACTTTTATGCAAATTAGACCACTGAATAGTCTAGGTTTATTACACTAAGAACATATAGAAGTTGACTTTCTCAATAATATCCTATCATATAGGCAGATCACTAAGTCCATGGGCTTCTTAAAAAAGTGGTTTGAACATCTTAAAAAGAAGCTAATAATTTCATACGTTCTCATACTTGCTTCTTTAGGAAACTAAAAGTGAATAAATTGGAAACAATCTGTTAATCTGCCATCACTATTTCATGACTTTCGAGTTGATGAAAACTGCTCCCAGCTAAGGGGCAAATTGTTTGACCATGAGTGGAAATCAATTTTCCTTAGACATCACCAGAAACAAACCTACCCAGATGCCAACTGCTTCGATAGCATGGTAGCACTCAGAGACACGCTTCGCAGAGGCAGTGGTAGATGGTGAGTGTCCGTAAAACACTGTCAACACAGGAAGTCAGAAGGGCCTGACACTTGCAATCTAGACTAGAAAGGCCCTTGAGATGTTTATTCACACAGTTTTTTAGTAACAGCAACAAATCTGTGGCTCTGTCCATTCCAGCAGCCTTGGAACCAAAACCACCCCATCCAAGTTCAGTCATTTGTTTGGAAATAAAGCAGACATTTGAATAACACCCTTCAAAATACCTAACAGATTTCTGCTAGTAAATCACTGTCGTCCTCCTAACCTTGACCTTTATATCCTTCCTGAAGAAGCACAGCATTAATCAAGAAAGAACTGTTCAGTACATTCCATTGTGAGAGTCTTGTTGCTACAGTATTAACCTGGAGGTGTTCAGTGGAAAATTAGAAGGAATCCTTAGTGTTGGAAGGTATCCTATTCTCATGATGCATTTCCTTTCCCGTAGGCCAGGCAGGGGCCTTTGATTTTAAGTTCATTGACACACACATAAACATCGCTCCAGGCCAAAACTGAAAATTCTCTAGAGATTTATGAGTTAAGCAGATATTCTGTCACTGGATTTGTTAATTTTGCCTGAACGTCACCCCCACAAAGAAAAAGGCTTGCCTGTGCATCTTTCTGAAAGACATCCAGCCTTCCAGTTCACTCATCGTAGGAGTTATGTGGACTGACCCACTAGAAAATTGAGATTTACAAGTGATATTGCCTACCTTTCTCAGTACTTCCATGAAAAGAAAATACTCTTCATTCTTAATTAACGCTCATCAAACTACATGTCATGAAAATAACTAGTCTCTACTAACTGCTGAGAAAAATCTCTACAAACATGGCACTGTAATTCCATTTGGGAAGTTGTTTTTCTCTTAAGTATCTTTGGTTTGACAACATATTACAGCAAATGAGGTAATATTATATTGCCTAGCTGGAGTTCAGGCCTTCTTAAGGCCTCTGTACAACCACAAATAAATTCAGAGGACGTCTTAATATAAATGAAAATCAGGACCACTGACTTTAATAAGGCTGTTAGTGAAATATCGTACTTCATGAATGCAAAGGAAAACAGAGAAATTCAGTTTCCTGGAAAAGAGGACAAAATCAGAATGCATTGCAACAATAATATAGTTCTGTTTAGTAAACCCCAAAGACATTGCTGTCAAAAAGTGACCTTAGTTACCATCTACTTAAGTAAAAAACATTAAAACACCTAAAAATGTTTTGTTTAACACTTTGTCTACTTCCTGGCCCCTGCCTTATTCTAGTAGTATAATACTGTATTATTGTCTCCTTGTTTAAACTCTTAGCTGTTCTGAACTACACTTACTACTACAGCATGCTTGCTTTTTGATATAGAAATACATTAAACCTTTTTTTACAATGACTGGATGCATCATTTTTTTGACTATTGTGAGGAAAACTCAGGCTCTGACTTGATCAAGGAGTTCCATATTCGATTTGTTTTGTTAGCCCCAGTGAGAAATGACTTAGTGAGGAAATTCAGGAAAAGCATAAACCAGTCTGTGAAGTCCGAGACTTTGGTGGGCTGAAGAGGAGCTAACCAGGAACACTCATTAAAGTGCTTTTATATGAAACAGTGGAGAGTTGAGCGAGAGGGCCTAAGGAGAAAAGTACTTGTCTAGCCCTGCCACAAGAACAGCCACTGAGAAATGGAGGGACTACGCAGAGCTTTAAAACAGACTCTGTAGCACAAAGACTTTGTTTTAATTGCAGCTGAAGCAAGTTTAAACATCTGTTGCTTGTTAGATTATTATTTTATTTCTTTACTTATTTATTTATTCATTTATTTTTGGGATGAGTTGAAGAAAACTCTTGTAGATTCCCCATGGCCATTAAGCTGGGATGGAGAACAGAGGTCTGAACGTTTCTAAAATGTAAAGCTGCAAAAATTTTGGTTTTAGCAAGGATCACTTTATTTTTTTTTCCCACTGAAAAAGCCTGCTGAAACTTCTGCTTTTGTACATATTTATTGCAGTTTCTAGGATGGCAGCCAGAACAGCTTATGGCAGCAGGGAACAGGTTGTTTTACTATATCTTTTGTTTTCAGATATGGAAAAATATCTGAATGTTTGAATCTGTGTGTGTTTAGAAGAGGCAAAAGAAAAGAAAACACACACAAAAAAAGAAAGGAACAAAATGAGGACATTTTCATTCATTTTCTTCTGATCATCACCACTTTTCATGAGACTACAAAAGACTTGTTCCATGTGCAGATTGCCAAGCCAAACATTAGCCAATGCACATGCTGCCCTTGGGATTTAACACACTGTCAAGTCTAAATTCCCAGGGTAGAGAACCATTTCTCACTGCCTCTGTGTCTTCTCTTCCTATGCAAAGGGCAGAAAGCATAGCACAGAGCCTTCAGAATCTGACTTCTTTACAGAAACTTACGTTTCACTGTATCAGTCA